ATTTGTGGGCTTTTTGTGTTTTCAACCTCTGTAATATATAAAGGGAAAATTTAAAAAATGGTCAGAATTGCAGTTTTATTAAACTGTTAGCCTTCCAAGAGCATTACCTTTTTTGACTTGAACACAGACTAAGTTTGGAAAAGACCTCATCCCACGGGATTATGATAGCTGATTTATCATGAAAATTGGAAAGAATATTTCTAACCATTTTTTTTTTTTTTTGGTACCAGGGATGGAACTCAGGACATTGTACTTGTGAGGCAGGCAGTGGAACCACTAAGCTAAATCCCTGACCCCTTGGAGTGAATATTTCTAAATCATATATTGATAAAGGAATTGTATCTAGAAGAGGGAAAGAATTCTTATAGCTCAGTAATAAAGAAGCAACTCAGTTTTTAAAAATTGATGAAAGATTTGCACAAACATATCTTCGTTTGCTCAAAGAAGATGTACAAATGATCTAAAGTACATGAAAAAGATGTACAGCATCATTAGTCATTAGGGAAAACAACCTGGAAATACTATGAAATACTATTTCACACGCACTAAGATAACTAGAATCAAAATAACAGACAGTAGCAAGTGTTGCCAAGATTTGGAAAATAGAAGTCTTCATACATCACTGGTGGGAAAGTAAAATGGTGTACCTGCTTTGGAAAACAGTTCAGCAGTTCTTCAAAATGTTTAACATGAAGGTACCATGTGACTTAGCTCCGTTGGGGGGGTAGAATTGTAAATAAACATCTGCACAAGAACCTGAACACAAATGTTCATAGTCGTAGTATTCAAAATAGTGCAAAAGTGAAAATATTCCATGTGTCCACAAATTGATGATGTATCAGTAAAATGTGGTATATTTATACAATGAATATTATTATTCAGCTATAAAAATCACTGAAATTCTGACACATGCTACCACATTGGTGAATCTTGAACAAATTTTTTTCTGAATAGAAGAAACCAAGCACAATGGCCACATATTGTATGATTCCATGTGTACAAAATGTGTAGAACAGATAAATATATAAAAGAGAGGAATAGATTACTAGTTACCAGGGTCTGGGGGAAGAAGAGAACATAGAAACTGAATGTCAATGGGTATGCAGTTTCTTTTTGTGTTAATAAAAATCTTCTGAAATTATTTTTTTCTTTTTATTAAGTTTATTGGTACAGTCTATGTATACAGTACAGTTACATTCATTATTGGGATCCTGTACCTTTACATGATAGGTCTTGATTCTCATTTTTTCCCCTTGTCCCTGCCCTCCCTTCACCCCCTCCTCCCCTCCCCATTTACAAACACTTTATTTCCATTTTTTCAATTTCTCATATCTTTCTCCTCTTCCTTATTACCTTTCCCCCACCCTTCCCATCTTCCCTACACCTTTAGCCCTTTACTTCCTATTTCACATTATTAATTATCTCATTAGGATCCTGTGTACTATTATAGTTTTTCATACCAGGGAAACTATTCGGTATTTCAGTTAAAGAAATCTCTCTATGAACATAAAAATAGGGAATCCTAAAATAAAACTAAAAAGGAAAATAAAAGAGGAAAGGCAATGATGTAAGATTAAAATAATCCTTAATTCTGAAGATGAAAATGGTCCCTTAACATATTTAAATTGCTTCTTGCTCTTATAGTCTTATCTTATTCTTTTTTTCTTTAATTATTTAGAGAACACTTTATTAGTTTCTGTAATCAAACCCATGTAGATATGACCTTACATATTTAATACAGTTCATTACCCCTGTACAAATGGAAAAAAATAAAAATAAAAATAAAACAAATTAACATTTCTAGACCAGTATGGCTGTCCATTTCTGTACAATGCCAACTCAACACAGTAAATTGGGATAACTTTTCCTAAAGTTGAGAGCACTGTTAAAGTTTCCAAAAATTCAAGTTTTATATATATATATGTATGTATATATATTCATATAAAAAGACCAATAATAGCAATATGTTGCTACCTGTACACTTTAAAAAGTTTGAATTTTGTGTTGTATGAATTATATCTCAGTAAAGCTGTTATTAAATAATAGTGATTTGTTTTTAAAAAACTTATTTTTTATGTGCCATGAGCAACAAATTAAAAATATAATGGAAAGAATAAATTCATGATAAACTATAAGAAACCTTTGAGAAGGAGGAGAGGAAATTTTTCCTACAGCTAGTAATGCATAGCACAGACTCATAGAACTGAGAGTGTGGAACTGTTATGGAGCCAGACCAGAAAAAAAAATTAAAGTCTAGAGAGATGTAAGCCTATGTTTTAGGAAAGTAATATATAGGATAGTAAAGACAGCTCTTCTTGTCAGTGAAGAAAATGTGGATGACCTGTGAAATGTTGATATTCAACACCCACCTGACTTTTATCAGTTGGCAGTTTGAGTTGAAAATAGCAAAAGTTAATCCTGACAAGTTTACGCAGAAGAGGAATTTCCAGGAAAGAGATGAAATAATCCAGAGTCAATGGGAAGCCAACCTCAGAAGATGAAGGAACCAAAAGATGCTAAGGAGCTGGGACAGAATACGATGGTGAGGGTGCTCCTATCCTGCTGTTGCTCCTCAAGATGGCATTTACATCACTGCTGCCAAGACTACGCTCCAGTGGCGTCTGTATTCTCTCTCTACTGCCATTTGGAGACCTGGGCAGGCACATTGAAGGCAGAGCTCTGGTCAAAGACCTTGTACCCTCATCGCTAGAGTTGGGAAGGAGGACCTGCCCACCTTCAACTACTGTGGAGGGAGATAAAACCCTATAGCATCTCCCTAGGTAGGGAGGTGTCCAAATGGAGAGAAGCCAAAAATGACAGATTTCCACTAACATTTGGAATGACTAAAATTAGAACCATACTTTATATCATAGACCAAAATAAATTCCACATGGATTCAGAATTTAAATGTAAAACGTGAGATCATAAAAGTGCTTAAAGAAATTATACAAGGATATTGATGTAAGCTTGGTTTGGAAAAATTTCTGAGCATAATATAAATATCAGGCTATTAAAATATTGGTGGATGATGTATTAATAAAAGAAATACTGGTAGAAAATTCTAAGTGACCCAGAAAGAGACTCATAGTTAAAAACAACTGTACATAAAATATGATATTTTAAGTCTTTTGACCTTTTTAAGAAAAAAAATATATAATACCCCCTAAAAGAAAAGGATTAAAATGGCATATGCCAGGATGCAATCAGTGATTATCTCTTGGATGGTGACAGTAAAGGTGATATTTTTCCCCTTTGTTTTCTCTCTAAATGGAAGGGTTTCTTTCAAAAGTTAATTTTTAAAAGGTAAGTGATTTAGTTTTTATGTGAGTAATACCTGGGTTTCCATGAGTAAATTTTATGCCAAATACTGCAAAGGTCAAAATAACTTTAGGCTGGAGATTTAGCTCAGTGGTGCCACACCTGCCTCACAAGCACAAGGTCCTGAGCTCGATTCCTGGTACCCCCCCCAAAAAAGAAAATAACTTTACAGAGCAGGCAGTGAGACAATCCTATGTAAAAATAAATGTTAAGGTAGCTATTGGAACTTACTACATCTTATAAGACTTCAAAAAGAACTAAAAAATTGAGTGATGACTATAAGAATGCCCCCATATCATTTCTCTTAAATGCTCCCCCTCCCTTTCGTGATTTTGGTTTTGGTTTAATGTATTTGGTCTTATTTTTAAGAGAACCCATCTTGATGGGGAACTCACACTAGCTAATATTTAGGGTATTGGCATTTAAGTGGTAGACAGATGTAGGGACTCTGGAGATTTTATCATGGTCTAGATTTCATCACTTTCTGCCCTTGCCTACAAAATGAGTTCCCCTAGTATTTCCCGTTTTATAATCCCTGGGGTTTTTGTTCTCTTATGTGGGATTTCTGCCTCAGTAAAGGATATTCCACACCTATTTGACATAAGAGACAGAGTGGACCCTTCCCATCTGAAAATGACTTGCCCACATGGAAGGAAAGGCTCCTCATGGAAGCCTCAGTGGTGAAGGATGAGGGAAGCCCTTCATGTTCCAGAAAGACTGATCACTGCACATCCTAGAAACAGACCAAGAGATCTAGAGACAGCACAGAAGTTAAAAATAGCCACAGGTTTCCATTCTTGCCACTCATTTACTTTTCTTGATGAAAAAGAATTCTGGCTTTGAATTTCTTTTACAAAACACCATGATTTTCAAGCGATTGTCATGTTCTAAGAGTTCTTTAAATTGGGGGATAAAACACCTTGTCCTATGACCATTTCCTTAGGGGACTCATCGAGCATTTCTGTCCTGTTTATTTCTTGGTCATAAACAGCATGACTCTGAATATCAGTCTCATAGAATTCCTGTCTTCATCCTCTATGTTCATATTTGAACCCTATTGCTCCAGACCACAGCTAAGTTGGCATGCAACTGTTTTTGATATTAGATACCTTAGTGATGCAGTTTTTTACCCCAGTTATTTTGCAAGGAGGATAGGAAATGTGTTATGCACACATATATGTCTTGTGCTACACATTTCTTGGGAACTTTTGTAGCTGGTTAGTGTTTATATTTGTGTTCTTTTTCTTCTTAAGTGCCTTTCTGTTGATAACATGGAACAGATAACGGTAGTTCTAGATTGGGGAAAAAGTATGTTGCTTTTCTCTGGTAGAAATTAGGAAGACTTATCCCTTCCCTGATTTTCTTGGCCCCAGCAAATGAACTTCTTCCAAGAAACTGGTCAGTAATGGAACCTGATGGTGCTGTGATGTATGCCATGCAGTCCCCAGTGGCCAGCAGTGGGGAGGTGGCAAGTGCTGCCTCGGTGACACAAGGTCCCTTCCTGTAGCACCTAGCTCCATGGACAAGGAAGTGTTTGTGCAGTGATTACAGGAATGCACATGACCAGGCAGGCCCTGCTGTGAATGACCCTGCCTGTAAACACAATCTCTTTCCTGCCTACCAATCCTCAGTCACACCTGGGCTGAGCAAAACTCACATACATACTCTTCTTGTCTTTCTAGGAGCAGCCTATTGCCAGTTCATGGACATGCTCTTTCCAGGCTGCATTAGTTTGAAGAAAGTAAAATTTCAAGCAAAGTTGGAGCATGAGTATATTCACAATTTTAAACTTCTGCAAGCATCATTTAAGCGAATGAACGTCGATAAGGTAGGAGACTCATTTGTACCTCCATAAAATGTATCCTTTCATTAAAATTATTTTCAAACAATGCAGAAACCTAGTAACATATCAGCAGGATACATGTTGATGTGTCAACAAGTTGAGATAAAGCATCAGCCCTACTTCCCATATTTGTGTAAGGTTTTATTTCAAGAGATTGTCTAAACTTGTAGCCATCAGACAACTAGAACAGGAATCACAAATGTTAAAATGTTGTTGTGTTTTAGCATTGCAGATGAAAAATTTTTGATTTCTAGATGCCTCTTTAGTTGTTTGTGTATTTTGTTTCTTTGGAAAAACAACACATTACAGTGGAAATAGCATCAGTTTGAATCTCAGTCACATAACTAAAGCAAGTTACTTAAAGTCATTGAGTCTAAGCTCACCCATCTGTAAATTTGGGGAAGAAACCCCTTACCTGTGGTTATGAATTTGAAATAAGGGAATATATGTAAAAATGAGCAGCATAGTATTTGTCCTCAGATTCTCAGTGTCCCTACATTGCCCCCCTTTCCCCCTTTAAATTATTGTAATTTTGTCCCAGAGTGATTTAAATGGAGTTAGTGATACAATGGAGTGAGTTTGATAAACTATTTTTAAAATGTAACACAAGTAGTGTCTTAAGTAAAAACATTCTTATCAAACTATGAAGAAAATCTAGCTTCTCGTTTTCTCAAAATTTTTATTTCAAAATTTGCATTATACAGCACCTTAACCTTTCAAATCCTTTTCAACTTAACTTTATGTCTTTTTACTATGGCTAACTTCCAATTAGGTCTTCCTGTGTATTTTCAGAAGCAGAACTATATAGATTCTCCTTGCTTTTAGTAAGTTAACAGTTCCATTTGTGTCTTTTTTGTTCATTTTTCTATTCGTAGTACTACAATAGGAAAAAACACATGCTCATAGATTTATTAATGGAATTTTCTGTATGTCCAGTTAATAGGCTCCATGTTTCTAGAAGTGAGCACATAGAGAATGAAGTTGTTAATGTTGAAAAAAATTCTTAAAGTGGAAAGAGCCTAGCCTTTATGGCCCTTACTAGCCTCTGTGGCTTTCCGAAGCTATGTTTGCACCCCAAAGTCCTATGAGAGAGTTACGCACCCATTACCTCTGGTTCTGTGCAGTTTTGTTTACTCCCTCAGATTTCGAACTTAGGCCCCTGAAACTTTCACTTTGACAGGAATGCACGGTTAAATCAGTATAAGTAAGAACCTTATTTTAACTGGTAAGGTTCCATCATTATCTAAAACTAAATTCTCATAGTCCAGCAATAAATTACAATAGTATGTTCATTAAAGGGCTGTATTCTCTAGGAGGTCATTTTCTAACAATCAGTGACTACATAAACAGAAACTTAAAACTCCAAAGACATAAAAATAACCAGTACAATGAAAAATCAGTTGACTTTATCTGTAACAGGAATTGTCCCCATGAGAGTTAAAGGGAAGTGAGAGGAGGGAAATATCAGCACCAAAGTGTTGAATATCAGAAGAGTCTTCCTGAGAAATGTGTGCTCTGACAGTTTGCTTCTGTTTATTTTGCTCTGTGCTTGGTTCAGTTTCTATTTCAGCTGTAAAGAAAGTACTTTTGAGAATTTTATTATTAATCATTTATTTTAATGGATGTCTGAAAATGCATCAGTCCTTTTTTCCTTTCCAGCTGTCATTAATGTTTAAGATCTTTCAGTATTTTTTAATGTCCTTTAGGTACCTTTTAGAATATGGATGGTATATAGCTACTGAGGATACAAAGCCTAACTGCAATTTATGTAGTTTCCATTCATATTGTCACACAGTGAAGCCACATGCTTTGAGCCCTAGGTTTCTGTCCAAGTCACACACACAGAGTCTGACTCACCCTTTAGTTTTGCCACTCTCTCATGGTCTCCATTTGCCCAGTATTGCTGCCCAGATATACAGGAAGTAAAATCTGCAGTGGTTCAGCTCAGAAGGCCCAGTACCTTTCCATTGCCCTTAAAAAATCGTGGCCTACCAAATTAGAGCTAAGCAATCAAACTCCACCTTTTCCTCATTATAATTCTGAAAGTTCCTATGAGGGCTCTACTGGTTGACGCTAGATTGTGGTAGGAAAGGTTTGTCCATGAAAAGCTGAGCTTCCTGTCTTGGAAGCTGACAGGAATGCTGTGCACCTCCTCCTCCGGGGCCTTATATGACTCATTTATCAGCATCCTTCTCTTTTCCTCTGCATGCTGATAGTGTGCTGCCTGTGCTCCTCCAGAGTCTGTGGACTTTGGGGCCTATATTGTGGTTAGTCACTTATGTATTAGTCTCTATGTTACAAATGAGCTCTGGGAAAGTTCATTTTGTTGAATATGAACCATTAGATTGATATCCATTTTTTTACTTGGGTTTTTTCATTTGTACTCTATTAGCTATAATCCTTAAAAGAGTTTAGCCCATAAACTTGAGTCATTTATAGGAAAATGGATGTACCTCAAGACCACAATGTTGAGTGAAATAAATCAGACACACAAGTTTAAATATCACATGGTTTCTCTTACATGAGAAACCCCAATTATAGATAAATAAAAGAGCAAAATACAAGATAGATAATAGGAAACAGGGAGATAGATCTTTTGCAGTAGGAAAGAGGACCAAAAAATGAAGGGAAGGGAAAAGAGAATTAATGTGTGTTAAATATATGTGTGAACTTCCCATAATGAATGTAATTATCATGTACTGCAAACACATACTAATTTCTAAAAAATTTATCCCACACAACTGGGCAAAGTGTTACAAAGAAAAATAGGAAAGCTCATCAGTCTTGAAACAGCACAACATCCCAAGCCCATGTTGTGTTTTCTTTTGTGTGTGGAGAGATTCCTTGTCTAGTTTGCTCGAAGTATTCAGTATTTCAGGAGAACCATGTTTGGGGTAAGTTCTGCTTAAATATGATAAAAATTTTAAGTTAATTATACAGCTGGCTGAGCAGCTGGGAAGAGATCAGTGGTCATGAATCACAGGTAAGTAGGAAATACTCATATTTAGGGAACACTCCAGTTATGTTAAATGCCAACAAGCACGAGATTCGTGACTCACATAGTGATTCTGTCACAGGTAATACCAGTGGAGAAGCTAGTGAAAGGACGTTTCCAGGACAACCTGGATTTTATTCAGTGGTTTAAGAAGTTCTACGATGCAAACTATGATGGGAAGGAGTATGATCCGGTTGAGGCGCGACAAGGCCAGGATGCAATTCCCCCGCCTGGACCTGGTGAACAGATCTTCAACCTGCCCAAGAAGTCACACCATGCAAACTCCCCCACAGCAGGTACTGTCACCGAGAATTGTGGGGTCACTTCCATTTCAGGAAATTGCTCAGACCCTCCCTCCTGTGCTGAAGCACCTGTGTTTGTGAGTGATCCTTCGCAGCAGTCAATATTTTAGGGATTGGGATGGTTTTTATTATTGTCTGTCTGGCTACATTTATCTTTCTGTGATCAGTTTGTCATAACTCTGACAGTCTTGACTTGTTATTAAAAAGGCAGAGATATACATGTTATCTCATTGAAGCACGATGTTAAAATAATACTCCCGGGATAGGTTTATTTTTTTCTCTAATCTTCCAGAAAAATTTCAAGTAATCTACATCGATTTTGAGCAGAGTATTTTACTCCTTAATTGCTGGCAGTAGAGACTATGTGAACTGATTTATGTTGTTATATATGGATCATCTATAGTCCTTCAAAAGAAATTGTACATCCTCCTATCTGTAGAGAGGGTGCCAACATCTATGTGATAATGTGAAACAGCGTCTCATCTGTTCACTCCGATCCAGAAGTGAGTCATAAAGGATAAATACCTGGGACTTTAAAATATTGTATACTCTTCTGGATTAAAAAAACCTTTCTAAACTATAAATATCTTGCCACAAAAAGCAGACTTTACCAAGCAAAATATGTTCTTGTAAAATTGGGTCATTATGATAAATACCAGTTGGGTTTTGAACATTTAAACAGTGATATCCTCAGAAACTGTTTCCATCCCAAGTGTAGAGATCATTGTTTAAACTTGTTAAATAAGTAATTTATACTTATTTCTGACCAACTTTCAATCACAATGGATTAGAAATGGTTAACAATACTTCCATGATAATAAGAGCTTTGTAATCATAGTTTTTCTCACTGTTAAAAAGCGTTTTTAACCCTTATTTTGGGAGTTACGGCTATAGTCAAGGTAAACTGAGACCATTAGAAATGTGGTATTATTTTTAAAACTTTATTATATATATACATATATGTGTATATACATATGAGAAATAATATGCATATGTACCAGGATTTTAGATAAATTCTTATTTGTCTGGGCTAAAGTGAAGGTATCATAAAAGAGGAATTGACCACTCTGTAAGATATTTGGGGAACGAATTGCATGTTGGTAATAGCTGGATACTGGAGTAAAAGGAGGGGAGATCTCAGGCATGACTTTTTTTCTTTGATGTCTCCGTTTGTCTCACATACCTGGAAGGAGATAGGGTATTGTTTGTGAAGTCCTGAAAGGAAAAGACTTGGGAAGAAATCCTTAGTTTGTTTTGAATGAACTGAGTTTGAGATTTTCTTGTAACACCTAAGGAGAGATCTAAACTGCCAACTGTGTACATGTGCATGCCCGTGTGTGCCTGTGTCTGACGCGCAAAAGAAGTGTTAAGTAGAGGTACACATATATCCATGAAATTGAAGCTGGATATGAATACAAGGTGATAAGGGGAGCATATACTGAGGAACTCTAACGTTTAGCAGTTAAGGAGCAGAAGAAGAGCTTGCTTGAGAAGCAGAGAAGATGCTGAAAGGATTGGAGGAAACTAGCGAAGGATGTGTCAGGCAAGCAGGAAGAAAGGAGCAGGATGAGCTACAGTATCTACATCTGCTAAGAAGTCAAGTGAGATGAGGCTTGATGCAGTCCATTGGCTTGCTCTGTGTCTTAGTTACTTATCTCGTTGCTAGACATGATACACCCCTTAAAACAGGAAAGGTAGGGCCCGGGATTTAGCTCAGTGGTGCCACCACCTGCTTCACAAGTGTAAGGTCCCGAGTTCGATCCCTGGTACCCAAAAATTTAAAAAAAAAGAAGAAGAAAGGTTTATTTTGGCCACAGATTACAGGGGTTTCAGTCCATGGTTGGCTGGCTCCAAGGCAGAGAAGGCTTGCATGGCCATGGGAAGCAGAGAGCAGCAGGTTGGAGGGAGGGAGGAAGATACAACCTTCCAGGCCACACCCCCAGTGACCCACCTCCTCCAACCAGGCTTCACCTTCCAAATCACATTTAGTTATAAACTCATCATTGGGCTGATACAAGTATCACACCCCTATGATCCAGTCTCCTCCCAAAAGCCCCACCTATGAACACAAGAGGTTTTGGGGGGACATCTAGATATAAACATAACATTCTACCAGGAAATCATTTAATGGAATGATAGAACAAGAACTAGGTTAAAGAGTGAGTTGGACAAAAGAAATGAAGACTATCAAAGTTCAGTCTTGGAGCTATAGAATGGTGAGCTATACACTAAAAAACTAAGCGCAGTCTTCAGGAATATATACTTCTACATGCAGAGGGGGATGAGAAAATGATGATCATCAAGAAAACCATAAAAAGGAGAAATTTCTAGAACCGTGGTCATCAACAGCTCTGCATATTGTAAAAATAGGCCAAGGAAATCCGACTCCTAGGAAGTGATTAATGGTCCTTCAGAGAATTGGTCCATTAAGATGCTGAGTGCTTAGGCCAGGTTACAGCAATTCAGCAAGGTCAGATGGGCTGTGGAAGTGAGGTGGTAAGCATAGGACACTTTTCAGTTAAAAAAAAAAAACACTAAGGAAAATAAAAATAACATTAGGTTCATGTAGAGGAAAACACCTGATGACATTTTCAGGAAATAAGATTCAAAGGAGAATGCTATTCTTTTTTCTTGATCTGTTTTGTTTGCTTTAAGGATAAGGCAGAATGATCAGGTTTGCAGAATGGGAGAAAGATCCATGGAGAAGAAATAGTTGAAAATTGGAAAAAGTGAAATTATAGGGGCACAAACTTGAAGCTGGAAGGAGAAAATGAAGTCAAAGGCACAGAGGACTAAAAAGAAAAGGAAGATGTGTTTTTCTGGAGCAGAAGCAATGGGAGAGATTAAATAAAACTTAAACCATGAGGAGTGCAGGAAACAAATTCATGTAGTCAAGTTAGCCACCTACTTTGGTCAGTAACTTTCATCAGTCTAGGAGTGTGGAGAGGGGCAGTGTGTCTTCTCCAGAGTGCAATTCACGAGGCACATCAAGTGGGAGGACGAGAAGGTGAGAAAATCAGTGGGCTGCTATTTCTCATCTTAGTGTCATTTTCTATAGATGTCAGTGACAGGCACATTGGTCTTGAAACCCAACTGCCATTTTTTTAGGTATTTATTAATGAAATTGAACAGACAGACCTCAAAATATTTTTTTTATAATCATACCATCTCCTTAATTTCTTTTAACCTTTGTTCCTGCTTTCCTAAGCAGATCTGTCATATGCTGTCTTGGCCTCACATTCTAGGAATTCCCTCATCTCTCTTTCATAAAAGCCACAGAGAAGCTTGTGCCTTGTTGATAGAATGTCCATGAAGCTGAGAGAGAAATGTATATTTTCCAGAGCTTAACTTCTCAGATGACAAAGCTGAAAAAGCACATTAAAGTCAACAGATAATAAATTTAGTTTTTCATGTTCCAAAAGGCAGCAAGTCCTAAGACTGTGTTCCTGATAACTTTGACCAGGTTTTAGTCAAAGTTGGTCTTAATCAGGGAGAAAGGATATTCTCGTAAGTCAAATTATCATTGCCCTTTTAAATTAAATGTTCTAGCTATAGGACATTGTGAGATAGTAAAATTATACTGGGAAAAATTACAGCAAAGTACACATCACATGTAGAAAATCATTATTAAAAAGTATAATAGAAAGGCTTCTGTATACCCAGTAAGACCTTATTTTGCTAGAAGTCCTGAATCCAGATATTGGGAACACAGCCCAGAAAATGTAAGCCAGAATGTATTCTAAGAGTCAGAATAGGTGTTTAAAATATGTGCTGTAAAATTCATGTACTTAACTTGTGAGTTCCTAAGGTTCTTACTCAGAGTCTATTTGTTCTTAATTTAGATATAGCTATAATAAACACAGGGATATAGTTTCTCAGCATATAACTTATAAAGACAGGAGTGCTTAGGTACCCAAAGGTAAAAGAAGAGCCAGAAATCCTGAGATCTTTACCTAAAGATCGAATGGCTCCATGCCACACTTCCCCACTGTGTCTAAGACCCAATAGGTCTCGTAAGTCCCATCTAATTCTTAGAGTTCTGTTATAATTCTGTATTTATGGTTTTGACCTTGAACCAGTTCCTCCATGAACTATTTTTACAGTCTTGAGACTGGTAATCCTTCCCTGTGATCTGAAACCACTCAAGGCCGAATTTCATACTCAAGTCTTGGTTTTTTCCATTCAAAATTTAGTATAAATTAAAGTGCTTGATGAGAGTCACATCTCTAGGAATCTCACATTTATCTCATAGTCATACCAAGTCAAGTGATATTTTTTCCATTCTCCCCACCCCACACACACACACCAGGGATCGAACTCAGGACCTTGTGCTTGCCAGGCAGACACTGTTCCACTGAGCTACATCCCCGGCCCTCATTCTTTATTTTTTTATCAATACATGTTTGCATTACATAAATGAGTACATTCCACATACATAACACATCTCAGTTCTTTCTCCATCTTCTTTGCCTTCGTCTCTGGCTCCCTTTCCCATTTGAAAATGATCTATGTCCCTACTTCCTATTTTTGTTTATTTTGCTTTTTATATGTATTTGGGGCTTCTTATAAAAGAGAAATCATTAGATATCTAAGCTTGTGTGTCTGATTTATTTCCTTAACATTATGCTCTGAAGGTGCATCCATTTTCATGCAGATGACTCAAGTTTATCCTTCTTTATGGTAGAGCAGTACTCTACTGTATGTAAATACCACATTTTCTATACCCATTCATCTATCGATGGATGTATAGACCCCTTCCAGGATTTAGCTACTATGAATTGTTGGTCTACAAACGTAGGTATTCTTGTATCACTATGCAATAATAAGCTGGGTCAATTGGAATTTCTGTCTTTAGTTTTTTAAGGAATTTCTGTACTGATTTCCAAAGGAGTTATACTAGTTTACATTCTCACCAGCAATGTAGAAGGGTTCCTTTTTCCCTGCAGCTTCCCCAGTATTTGTTCTTTGATTTCTTGATGATGGCCATTCTGAGG